CAGCTGTACTAAAAACTATTCTCAACTACTTGGCATACTTGAAAGTTGAAATCATTAAAATATCCGACACTCAACAAGAAATYATTCAATTGATCAACAATTCGAGCTCCATAACTACTACTTATAATTCATGGATAGGGGAAATAGACWATCTTATGACTGCTTGGCCAGTATCCAACCACRAAGAACTGAACGATTTTGAAATAAAACTACAAGCTAATGAACAAGATTTTAAAAACAAAGTTGTAAGTAAATGTTATATCATACTMAAGGTTGATTCTTTCTAACTCATTATTCCAAAGCTTAAGAAAATACATTTATTTTTTATTTGTTCATTTAATTTCTTAAATTTATTGGTTTGTGCCATCAAAAAAATAACGACGCTATRACACAGATAAAGATCTTACCTATGCGTTGTGAAATTCTGATAACAATAATAATTTTAATTATATAATTTTATAATTCTATTATAAACACTGAGGGAGAAAAGCTGTYCCACACAAGTGAATTTTTTGCTATGTTCTACGTTTGTAAGACAGAGACAACGCATGAGACATCCTCGTAATGCTTTATTMTAATAATAATAAATATRAAGATTCTAATACTTTTTTTAGTATAAATCAAATTTTGTTTATAAGTTAATATTTTCTAAATTATAGAGTATTTTACCAGGTAAAATTTTTACTAAAAATGTAAATGCAATTGTGTGCATATGTTAATTTTATGTTTTAATGTAATAATGTAGAAACTTGAGWTGCTCAGAACCGGAGGAAAATCTGCTAAACAYATGATCCAAAAAATAATGAAAAAAGTATTTTCCGATTTTGTATTAAAAGATTTCACATATTTTGGATTGAAAAATAAATATAAATTTTCTACATTAATATTATTGATCAACAAAGTTATTTTTGGTAATAATACTATTGGAATTATTAATTCTAAATAATAATTATTATAATAATGTATTTTAGATACTATACACAAATCAAAATTCCAAATCATAAAAGATGATGATGAAATAATATCAATCATTGGAAAATGGTTAACAACAGCTAAAGCCAGAATTGAWAATAAAAAACAAGCAAAAGATGCCAGTAACTCCTTACAAACAGAAGAACCACTATTATAATGTTCATGATTTTATTCCGAGTTAAAATATAATAAATCCAAATCACACTTATTATTACTTCTTGTTTATTATAATAATTATTTTTAACTTCTTGTTCCCTATTTATGATTCTTGTTTAAAAACTATAATGTTAATGTACATATATATATATATATATATATATACTAATTGAGTTTATGTTTTTATAATACATATTAAATTAAATTTATAATTAAAAAATATATATATATATATGTACCATATTAAAATAAAATTAAAAGAGATATTTACTAAATATAAATAAATTGATATCAGATCAATAGTTGAACTTAATTATTCTAATTATAAAGTATATTTAAAAAATGTGATATTCACAAAATAAAAAGAATTTAATATTTCTTTGATATTATCATTTAATTAATATTGAAAATATATCTTGATAAATATATCATTTTGATATTGTATGTTGTTTATGTGAGCAATATGAAAAGTTGGTTCATAAGACATCTGTACAATATCCTTATAATATCAAAAAATACGCCAGAGACATAGTACAGATATTAAATTAATATTAAAAACACAGTGAAGATATTCAGGGGATATTTGATTATGCTGTATGGGACGCGGTGCGGTTTATAGGTCATGTGGTCAGTGTTCCCCTGATCACATGGGTGGAAAGTAAGTCCTTAAGAGGACGCCACACCCGTCTTTCTGCATCAAAAATAATGCATTCGTATTTCAAATGCTACGAAGTCAATAATGGTCGTAGACCCATAAGTAATACACTGTTTGAAAGGTGATAGTTTTTACWATGTTTTGTTGGAATCAGATATTTGAAATGTAATTTATTTTCTAAAATATAAGCAAATTAGTTTTTATAAAAAGATCTTTTGTTATGCCGTAATGCTTGCTTGTTAATACAATTTTCAGAAATCGGTTTCCAACAAAACATAGTAAAAATTATGGCCTTTCTAAGAGT